ACATGTCTCCTGATTTAAGTAATAGAAAGGTGTTAATAACTTTTTATAATACTTCTTCTGAGAGTACTTATGTTTTAAAGACATCTAGGTTGAGAACAGTAGTCCTTGTTACTAAAGGAAAAGAAATACTTGGAATAAGAATTCCTTTTTTTTTTTTTTTTAATCCTCACCTTAAGATATTTTTCCATTGGTGTTTAGAGAGAGTGAAAGGAAGGGAAGGAGAGAGAGAGAGAGAGAGAGAGAGAGAGAGAGAGAGAGAGAGAACTTCGATGTGAGAGAGACATATCGATTGGCTGCCTTCCGTACATCCCTCACCAGGGCTGGGGATCAAGCATGCAACTGAGATATATGCTCTTGACTGGGAATCAAATCCAAGACCCTTCGGTCTGAGTGATGGCCCTCTAACCAGTGAGCAATGCCTGGGCATTGCTTTTTCATTTATTAGAGTGAATTCTCTTAGTCCCAATTGTTCTAAGAACATTATGGACACCTCCTGCATGTTCTTGTTCTCTCTCCAGTTGTTAAACACAGAAGACAGAGTGCCAGAGCTGCCGTGGCAGAGGATTAATTTAGGTTTATGAAGTGACAGACCAAATAGTGGGATAGACCTTATGGCTAAAGTTTTTCTCAGCCAAGAGTCTCTTTGCATCAATAAATAAAACAGGCAGGATAGTAAGAAGCTAGGAAAATTCCTTGGGAAGTGGAATGGGGAAACTGAGACAGATAGGTGATTGAGACGGGCCCCATTCTTACACCCTGACTCACTTGCCTCCTTCTCCCTTGTACAACCACTCCCTTAAGCAGTAAGCCCTTCGGACCATGAGGTTCTGATCAGCAACAGGTAATCTTTCATAGGAACAAAGCTTTGGGTCTGTAAACCACAGAAACAGAGTTTTGGTCAAACTAAAGATAACATCTAGTCCTCAGCTGTGTCTCAGCTCCAGGCCCAGAAAAGCAGCAACACCTGGTGAAGTAATGCCTATGGCTGACATCAGGATTGGATGCAACAACTAATGACCTCTGCCCCGATGCTGTATGTTCATTTTGATGTATCAGCGTATTAAAGAACATTCCTGATAAGCTGATGAATATTCTATTGAGATCCTCCCCTGAGATCTTTTTAACATTTCTTTCTCTCCCTCTCTCCTCTCTTCCCCCCTCTCTTTTTTTTTCTTGTCTCGTGAACACCTGTGCCTTAAACCTCCCTCCCCCCCTGCCCCTTCTTTCAGGTGTGTGTCTTTGCTTTTTTTCTCCTACGCTCCAAGGGCCCTTCTTTTGGCCCTGTCATTTGTTCCCTGAGTCACACGGACCATCTGGATCACTTTTCTGCCTCCGTGACTTTCTTTCTGAAAGGCTAGGGCAGCTCTGAGCAGCCCACTCTTTCCTTCTCCTCAAGTGTGCTTTTGCTTTGCTTGCTAAATAAACTTCATACACTAGAGTTCTTGGCTCTGAATTCTTTCTTTGTTGAACCCAAGAACCAAGAGCCACATTCCCAATAACAAAACCAAAAGAAAAACTAGGAGCAAGCCTTATGAAATCTGGTCTACTTGAGTCAGTATCAGTTTAGCGGGATCCTGAGGCACCCTTTGTCACTCTCACCATACATCCCCCAACTTTAGAATTTCAAGGAAACCACAGCATGTTAGAAATCGCCAACGTTGTATTATAATGCTAAATATGGCCAATAAATTGGGAATAAAACTTTGTGAAAATTTTGCATGGAAAATAAGAATATAGAGCATAGGTTTTAGGATTTCTAGTTTGTTTTATGTTGAATTTATTCTGAATAATTCTACTGAGTAATTCTATTCAGTACATTATAGCGAGACCCAGACCCAGGCAGGACCCAGACTGAGTCCGTGGTGCGCGAGGCGGGGAGGTGCGAGGGTGGGGTGGGGGGGAGAAAAACCCAGAGTCACCTTCCCACCTGCCCACCCGAGAGCACCTCACTGCGCACACAGCCTCCTGGTGACCAGTCTTGGGTCACTGTGAGTTACAGCGTCACGGCTACAGGCCTTTTATTAGTACAGATAAATTAATAATCATTTACATTTTTTGACCCTGATAGGAAATGAGTTTCAGCTAAAACATTAAAGACTTAGGCTTGCCCTAACCAGGGAATCGCTGATTGTCTGCCTCCTGCACACCCCACACTGGGGACCGAGCCCTCAAGCCGGGCATGTGCCCTGACGGGAAAGCAAACTGTGACCTCAACCACCGAGCCAAACTGACTTTGCACTTTTCTTTATCTAGCCTGCTATTTCTCTTCAGTATTTGACTTTCTTTAAAAATACACTGAGCGTGGCTCATTGGTTGAGCGTTGACCTATGAACGAGGAGGTCACAGTTCGATTCCCCGTCAGGGCACGTGCCCTGGTCGCAGATTCGATCCCCAGTGTGGGCTGTGCAGGAGGCAGCTGATCAATGTTTCTCTCTCACCACTGGTATTTCTCTATCTCTCCCTCTCCCTTCCTCTCTGGAATCAATAAAAATATATTAAAATAAATAAAATAAACTGAGTTTCAGTAATACTTAAGAGGGTTAATAAAAAATAATGTTAATATTAAAACCTACAACAAATAATGACCCTGATCAGAAAAGATCCTGGCTGTTAATAAACTCTGCTTACATATTCCTGTCTCTATGATCATTGTCTTTGATAATCTCTTCCCACATAAATGGAAAACCAGGTGATTTATCATTGTAACAAACTTTCTCCAAGGTAAAACAGGGAATACATCATCTTTTCTGCCAGTTTCCTAAGTATATATGTTAGACTCTGCTAGTTATTAGTTTCTAGACCATTGGTTCAAAAGCCAGATGTTAAAAAACATTTTAAAGTCAAGCTCAAGACCTCAGTAAAACTGAATGAAGAATAAGAGGCTTTCCTAGTCAATGAAAGAGAAACACCACATGACCTCACTCATTTATGGATAATAAAGAACATTATAAACTGATGAACCAAAAGATAGATATAGAGACAGTAAAACAACAAGCAGACTGTCAAATTACAGCAGGGAGGGTAGGGAGATCTGGGGGAGATAATAGATCAACCGAAGGACTTGTATACATGCATATAAGTACAACCAATGGACACAAAACTCTGGGGAGGGAGGGTATGTATGAGAGGGGGGAGCAATGGTAAAATATGTACACAGATAATAATTTAATAAAAAATGTAAAAGAAAAAAAAAAGAATAAGAGGCTTTCAAATCCGAGGCCTGTTCTTAATGTAGCCAGCTGAACTGCCTAATTTGCTATAAATTTACTCCTCCCAAAGCTCAAGCACAGCTGGCTTCCTTTTTTTTTTTTTTTTTTTTTTTTTTTTTTTTAATAATTGTTTTTTGCTTTAAACTAAATGAAAACCTGGAAGTTTCTAAGCTCACATATGAACTATACCCCTCTCCTATTCAAATACATGTTTGAGGAGAAAGTTTCCTGTTTCAGGGAAAGCTGCCTTCCCTTCCTTTGGGAGACTTTCATCTGGAAATAACTCTCATTTTCCTCTGCATTCATGTTTCCTGGGGGTGTTCAGTGCCATCAGTACAGATTCAGCACAGCAGCTTAGCAGCAGCAAAGGTACTTTTTCAGAATCAATTGCTGAAGATTCTTCTAGGTGATGACAGAATGGCTTTCTCCCTTTGAAGAGGCAGTGGTCTTCTTCTACCTGCCACTTTGGGAAAGGCCACAGTATTTACAGAGGAAAATGTGGAGATCACTGATCTGTGGTTCTGCCGTTAACGAGAGATAGACAATAGGCATGTCATTTAACTAGCCTGGGGCCTCGATTTCATTATCTAAAAACAAGACAGTTGGATGATATGATTTCTAATAATTCATACAACTTTAAAATTACATGGCTATGGTTCCTAAGAGTCTTGAACATACTCTTGGATATGTGATTTGCCCATGTCTCTCAAGCCAGTGGGTACCTAGGACTTGTTTAGTGATCATGAAGTTTCTGTCACCATATTTCAGAGGCTTTTGTCTTTGATGTCTACCTAATCTAGGGTTGACTGACTGATCCTACCAGTGATTAAAGGAAATGTGTTTGAGGGAAATCTGGGGAGAGCCAGCTTGCAGCAAGTAGAAAAGCCCTAGAAATATTTATAGCTGTTTCAAGATCTGATTATCTTTCAATGATCTGATTGATGTTTCCCAACTTGGGTCTAGTAATGATTCTTAGCCGTCCAACTTTCTAATTAAGTTTACCTAGGTCGTTGGGAAAACTGTCCACATACACTGAGTTTTTCACCACCCGTCACAATCTCTAGTACAACCACTAGATCCAAATTAGCCCTATTCCCAGGGTAACACAGAGCCAACCCAAGTCCTCTTCCGTTTTATACTACCGGACAGGTGCTGTGGAGACAGCACGGACTTTGGAGTTCACAATCTGATTCTGCCTTTTCCTGGTTTTGTGATGCAGGTTAACCTCTCTGTGCCCCAAGGTTAACCGAGAGATAGACAATAGGCATGTCATTTAACATGCCTGGGGCCTCGATTTCATTATCTAAAAAACAAGACAGTTGGGTGATATGATTTCTAATAATTCATACAGCTTTAAAATTACATGACTATTGTTCCTACAAGTCTTGATCATAGTTACTCTTGGATATATGATTTGCCCTTGTCTCTCAAGAAAAGTGTAAACCTAAGATTTGTTTAGTGAAAAGCAGCCATATTTAGTACTTACCTTAAAAATTATAGAGGGGTTAAGTATGATGGTAGACGATAAGAGCTTCTCAGATGCCTCATAATGAGAACACCTGACATTTGAATACCTCTTTACCACTTATGAAACATCTCAGGAAAGTAGTTTGACTTAGGGCATTGTGCTGGATTTGCTGTGCTGGGTAACATATCACTTAGGGATAAAGAGACTTGAGCCAGGCTTGCTGGGTAAGGGCCCCAGGCTTTTGGAATTGGGTCAAACCAGATCCAGAGCCTTGGCTATCTTGAGAGTCTCTTGTAGCTAAAACACCCTTTTATGTTTTCCAGGAATCTGAATTTCTTTTTTTGGAATTTGATGAGGCCAAGGTCAACCAAGTTCTGAAGAAGCTGTCAGAGGTAGAAGAAAGTATCAGCACACTAATGCAGCCAGCCTAGCTGAAAATGGACTTGTTGAAGCAAAGGTGTTCGTGATCTGTTTTTTTTTTTTCCTTTTTCTTTTTTCTTTTCATATTATTCACCCGTTAATATTAAATCCTCAAGTTCAAATTTGCCTGCCTCTGCTTGCTGGAACTTATTTTTTTCCATTTACTCTTATAATTGTTTTACTGCAAAGGCTCTTATACTTCAGCATGTAGAGGCACTTGTAACAGCATTTTTTTTTTTTTTTTAAAGGAGGTGTCCAGAACCCAATCCCCAGAGACTTGGATTCAGATTGGCGGGGGTCAACTTTAGAAACCCATATTATGGTGGTTTGTTCCTGAGTAGGATTTTAGGAATATGTACATGATAAATTATACAAGAATTAGAAAACATTTTGTACAAACAAATACAAGGCTGCCCAAATACTGTGTATTTTGAGCTGAGGCCTAGAGATTTGCTGACCCTTGACAGTAAGACCAGAGATGCTTCTGGAATTTGAATTAATTCTACCCAAATCTGGGGGATCTGGTTTGATCTGAGCTACTGAGAAACATGAGCTTTTTTAGAACCTAGAAAAAAACTGATCTCATCACAAAGGGACTCCCTGACCTCAAGTTAGGACTGTGGGAAGAGAAAAATGTCACTGGAGGTGAAGTGAGGTTCTTTAAGAAAATTTTACTTGAGCCCTAGCTGGTTTGGCTCAGTGGATAGAGCGTCGGCCTGCAGACTCAGAGTCCCAGGTTCAATTCTGGTCAAGGGCATGTTCCTTGGTTTCAGGCACATCCCCAGTGGGGTGTGTGCAGGAGGCAGCTGATTGATGTTTCTCTCTCATCGATATTTCTGACTCTCTCTCCCTCTCCCTTTTTCTCTGTAAAAAATCAATAAAATATGTTTAAAAAAAAAGAAAGAAAAATTTTACTTGAGTCATCAAATAAAAGCTCTTCAAATGAATGTCTTCAGCCCAGCTGATGTGGCTCAGTGGTTGAACATCGGCCCATGTACCAAGAGGTCACTGGTTTGATTCCCATTCAGGACACATGCTTGGGTTGTGGGCTTGTCCCTCAGTAGGAGGCATGCAGGATGCAGCCAATCAGTGTTCCTCTCTCAGTGATGTTGCTTCTATCTCTATTTCCCTCTCCCTTCTCTCTCTAAAATCAATACATATTTTTAAAAAAGAAATAAAATGTCTTAAAAAAAACTAGTGTAAAAACTAGATCCTAATAGAGAAATTGTACGAAACACCAAGGTTATTCTAAGAGGAGGAAGCTGTCAACCAGTATATGAAAGTGACGGTCCCTGTTGAACAGGTTTTGTAACTTGATACTGATAAACTTTAGAAACCTCAGTTGCCTTTGGGATATAACGTGTTAAAAAAGAAATGTCGTTCTCTTGGTCTGTGTTTATATCATATATCAGTTCTAATGAGTTTATTCCAGGGCAGGAATAAGTCCTCTTCTGTTAAGCATGTTCTCCTAAATCAATTTGGAGACATGTTTTAGGAGTCCTTCCCAACCCCCGAGCTGAAAATACTGGTTTCCTCCCTGATTAAAACCATCCCAGAAGTTAGCAAACAATAACCAGAAGGCTTTAAATGCAGCCCCTGTGGACCCTTCGGAAAACATCTTAAAATAGTAGGGTAATGTGGTTTGGCCAGCAAACTATTAAAATTTGCTCTCTGTTCCCAGGGCTACCGTCATGTGATCCAGAAGAATTAGATAATGTCTCTTGCTGTAAAATGGAGGTCAACAATATTTCATTAGATAATGAGATTCCAGAAGTCTGGGAGGAAGAACTCTAGCTACCACATAAGTATTAACTTACATTCCAAAGTTTGTGGAAGTCTGAAGGACCAGTCCAAGGGCCCACAGGGAAAGCTCGGTGTAGGTCATCCTACCAAAGCAGTAGCCACAGTGATGGGCTTTTTATTATACCCTCCAACTAGGTCGTTGGGAAAACTGTTCATGTACACTGAAGTTTTCATCATTATCATAAAAGAAACTGGTTGTTGAAGGTTAACACTAAGCGTGTTTTTATTTTATTTTTATTTTTTATTTTTTAAAATATATTTTATTGATTTTTGTACAGAGAGGAAGGGAGAGAGATAGAAAGTTAGAAACATTGATGAGAGAGAAACATCGATCAGCTGCCTCTTGCACACCCCCTACTGGGGATATACCCGCAACCAAGGTACATGCCCTTGACCGGAATCGAACCCGGGACCCTTCAGTCGCCAAGCCAATGCTCTATCCATTGAACCAAACCGGTCTCGGCTAAGCGTGATTTTAAAAAAATTGTATTTTTAATCAGAGGAAGGGAGAGGAAGAAAGGAACATCAATGATGAGAGAATTGGGCCTCCTGCACATCCCCCACTGGGAATCGAGGCTGAAACCTGGGCATGTGCCCTTGACCGGAATTGAACCTGGGATGTTTCAGGCCGTAGGCCAGTGCTCTCTCCACAGAGCCAAAGGGGCTAGGGCTAACACTAAGCATTTTTTAATGCAAGTGGTTTTGGACAGGGTGTGTTTGCCTGTGTTTTATATTCACCAGTGATTGTTTTAGTTCTGATTACTGAAGGAGTACATGTTTATCAGTTTACTAGAGGCCTGATGCACAAAATTCATGTAAGGGGCTCGACCCTCGCAACCTCAGCTTCGTCCAGCTTCGTCTGGAAAGGCTTCTGGAAGGACATTTGGTCTAATTAGCATATTACCCTTTTATTATTACAGATTGTGAAAATATAGAACATTCTAAGAACAGTTAAATGACTCATCATTCTAATCTAGAGAGATAATAGAAAGCTAGAACTGGGAGAAGAGTTGAAGTTCCCTGAATGAATTCCTGGAAGTGGAGCAGACTTCTTTGTTTGTTTTTTATTTATTTATTTCTAATTTATTTTTTATTGTTTGAAGCATTACAAATAGTAGTACATATGTCTCCTTTTTCCCCCTTGACCCTCCCCCCAGCCTCCCCCTCCCATATGCCTTCAAACCCCTCCCCCCTGTCTTGTGTCCATTGGTTATGTTTATATGCATGCATACAGTCCTTCAGTTGATCTCTTACAGCCTCCCTACCCCCAACCTCCCTCACCTTCCCGCTATAGTTTGACAGTCGAGCAGACTGTTTTTAAGACTTTAATAAACGCTGACAAATTCTTTCCAGAAAGGTTATATCAGTTTATATTCCCTCTAAGAAAATATGAGAATAAAACACTCCTCTTCTTGCCTAATTGGGTATTATCTGTTTTTGTATTTTTCTGGGACTAGTTTTGGTAAATTTTTGCAAGGGACACATACTTAAACCAGGACATCTCTCTGGGGATTGGCTTTTTTATTATACCCCCCAACTAGGTCATTGAAAAACCAAGGAAGAAGAAAACCGCATAAGGGTTCCAGCAGATCCCACCAGGTTTCCTACCTCTGTAATCCTACGGTAAAACCGCTTTATTTTAAATTCAGGAAATATTGGGCAAAGTAAAAATAATCTCAGCCTGAATTAGGCCTTGTAGAAATTGTCATCGCTTGAGCAATAAGCACTCTAACTTGCCTGTTCAGAAAAAGTCTAGTCAAAAGCCAAAAGTTGCTCTCAGAATAAAGTCCGACAGAAACTCCAGACTTCAGTAGTTTCATGTTGATAAGAAACAAAGGATTAGCCTGATATCAGTGCTGGCTTTTCTTGGGAGCTCTGATTCTTATCAACTCTTCAGTGAAGGCTTAAATTCCACCATTTTAGCCTCCCCTTTCCTTTATATAACTCTCTCTTCCCCCAGTCTTATTTCAATGATGATTCAAAAAGAATGGCAGTGCCCTAACCAGTTTGGTTCAGTGGATAGAGCATAGGCTTGCGGACTGAAGGGTCCCAGGTTCGATTCCAGTCAACGGCATGTACCTTGGTTTCGGGCACATCCCCAGTGGGAGGTGTGCAGAAGGCAGCTTGATCCATGTTTCTAACTCTCTATCCCTCTCCCTTCCTCTCTGTAAAAAAATCAATAAAATATATTTTCTTAAAAAGAATGACAGCATTTTAAAATTTAGTTTAAGTTATTCTCCCCTAAATGCAAGAAGGCAGTGAAAAGCCAAGGATGACATTGAGTACCTGGAATCTTAAATACCTGTCACTAGCTATTAGTTACTGATGTTCTTTTTTTAGACCTGGGTGAAACTTTGGAATACAGAATATAAATATAAATAGAAATTAAATGAAAATAAATGTTAAACAGAATGTTAGAAAGTATTTTTTTTTTTTTTGGAAGTGCACAATAAATATCTATAGACCAGTAAAGGGACAAGGACATAGAAGGAAACCTTCTAGAATCAGCTCAGAAATGAACAGGATGTTAGAAGGGATGGCCACCTTAATGATTCTTAGCTGACCAACTTCCTAATCAAGGTTTTTAAATATTTTAGATGGTGAATTATTCAGCAGAAGAGAAAACCCAAATAGGACATAATTAGCTTAATTCGAGTTGCAAAGTATATAGTTTTTACCTCAAAATTTGAGAAATAGCAATTTTTATCTAAGTGCAGTGAATTCTCCCTTGTTGGGGATTGGCCATAATTGTCTCTTATATAGCATCACAACTGTATGCTGGACAGAGCTAGCCTTTGTTACAAAGGAAGCTGCCTGTGCCTGCTTCTTGTCAGATAATGGTACCAAGTGACATGTTACAAGTTCACTACATATCCTATCAGAATAAAATTCTAAACCTATGAGCAGGTAGCAGAATATGGGTATTTATATCGTTTACTCACCAAGGACTATAATTAGACCTTCTGTTTCTTTCTTCTCTTTTTTTTTTTTTTTTTTTTTTTAAACCTGTTCTTAGCTAGTTTTATGTTTGCTGCTGGTATTGGGTTTCAAGTTTTGTTGATTCATAGGATGAAGGCTGGGAGAAATGAAAAGGGGATAATAAGGATTTGATAGCATACGTAGAATAAGAGATTAAACTGTTTAAAAGAAATTCAGACTGAAAGGTGAAAGTAGTTAAAATCTTTAATGCTGTTATTGTACTCTTTATATTAAAAATAATAATTTTGGGGACTTCATATGATTCATATTCTGGATATTTTTAGAACCATGATAAAGATTTGGCACTGATCTCAGAATGACTGATTTGCAGGCTTTTGGT